ATGTTCTTGAAGCCGCTCCTGCACAATACGAGGACCGTGGCATGGCGCATTGTTTTGCTAGAAGCCATCTCCATTGGGCTATGCCATCAACATGGTAGGATGAACTTGATCAGCAACGATACTTTGGTATGTTGTGCTATTCAGACGTTGTTCCACACGAATTAAAGGGCCCAAATTATGCCAGGAAAACTTGCCCCAAACCATAACACTGCCCCCACCAGCGTGAAGGGTTGTACTCATGCATGTGGGGGGCATGCTTTCATGCTGTTTCCATCAAATTCTCACTCTGCCATCTGCATGATGCAACTGGAAACATGATTCATTGGACCACATGACTTTTTCCCAATGCTCGACTGTCCAATCCTTGTGTTCCTGTGCGAATTGGAGACGTTTTATCTTGGTAACTGCAGATAGCAAAGGTGTTTGAACAGGCCTTCGGCTTCCATATCCCATACGATGCAGTGTATAGCTAATTTGCCTATAAATGTCCAGGTGGTCATAATAATATGGCCACTCACATTCAAATATATCCCACGTTCAAAGGCTGTTAAATCGCGTTATTTACCTACATCTTCAGAAAAAAAATCACTTCTACTGTCATGGTAAACAACCTGCTTCCCTATTTATAATGGTCTGGCCCTCTAGCAACTTCAGCACGAAATTATAGCTAATTTGCCTGCAAACGTCAGGTGGTCATAATAATCTGGCCACTCAGTGTGTGTGTGTGTGTGTATATCTCTCCTATCTAATAAAAGAGTAATATGCAAATTAACCATCACTCCTTGACAGAGATGGCGGCTCCCAAAGCAGCCAGGTGGGATGCTGGCGGCGTTGCAGGCCAGGCTGAGGGACCTCCCCCACCCCCAGTGCACGAATTTTGTGCACTGGGCCTCTAAAAAAAAGAGATATCTATATTTATCTATCTATATCTATATATATAACTGTTTTGTTTTCCATTTCTTTGATCTGCCTGTTCACATATTTTGTCTATCTACCATTGGATAGCTTGTCTTTTTCCTATTAACTCATAAGAGCGCTTCATAAATTTGTTGATCATTCATATTCTAATATTTCACTAGTTTATTGCTGGTCTTTTGACTTCACTTTTGGTTTACTTTGCCCCCCACCAAAAGCTCAAGCTCTGCTTTCCAGTGACCATATACACTTACCCTTTTCTTTAACCAAGATCTGAGATGTCAAAAATGATTCTGAGAAGACCACAGATCCTAAGCTCCCCCTTCCTCCCAGCAAGTCAGGAATGTCATAGACAGTCATACAAGCCTGTATCAAATTAGAAAATAGAGTTATACCAGTTGTCAGTCTTAAACCTTCAAGAAGAGACTCATAAGAAACAGACCACAAAATACTGCTTTCAGGTACATTTCAAAAGAAAACTGCAGAGTTTCTAAGAAAACTCAAACTATCTGGAAATATGTCTCAGAACTGGGAGATGACTTAAAACATAGGCTTCCCTGCAACTGCTGCTGCTTCTTTTAAAGATTTTTAAATTGATTTTTAGAGAGGGAGGAAGGGAGAGGGAGAGAGAGAACACAGACCAGTTACCTCCTATATGCCCCCTGCTGGGAATCGAGCCAGCAACCTTTTGGTGCACAGGACTACGCTTAACCAACTAAGCCACACTGGGCAGGGCCAATTGCTTCTTGATCAGAGACACCCTAGGGTTAGAAGAGTATCTTTATGTTTCTATAAATTCCCTCACACTGTTTATCCTCCTTAAGAGGCAAAATAACAGCCTTTCTTCTTTCTTTTTTTAAAAAAATATTTTTATTGATTTCAGAGAGGAAGGGAGAGGGAGAGAGAGATAGAAACATCAATGATGACAGAGAATCATTGATCGGCTGCCTCCTGCATGTCCCCTACTGGGGATCGAGCCCGCAATCCAGGCATATGCCCTTGACAGAAATCAAACCCGGGACCTGTCAGTCTGTAGGCCAACACTCTATCCACAGAGTCAAGCAGGCTAAGGCACTGCCTTCCTTCCTTCCTCTTCTTCTTTTTTTTACAGCCTTCCTTCTTAACTGTGACTAGTCCCCAGCTGTTTAGAGTTGGAAGTGTTTCCGGTAGGCTTCTATACACTCACAAACTCATAAGATCCCAGCATGTCTACACTTTTATCAATTCCTTTTTTGGTGTAAGTTCAAATTCTGGATAGGTCTGGAAGGTCATTCATTTGGTATTTATACATGTCTTCATGGATATTTTGGGGTACATGTCAACACCTGCAAATGCGACCTTCAGAATCCAGAAAACAAAAAGACAGCCATTCAAGCTTTTACAGGAAGACAAATAAAAACAAGAGGCTTCAGTAGGCTGGAAAAAAAACACTGGAGCAACTCAGAGAAGCTCCTGAACAGCTGGTAACAAAGTCCCGATTACCACTTAAAACTAGTGAAAATGGAACAATTCTGGGGGCAATCTAGCAGAAATGCAGAAAATGGTATGAGCCAGGGTCTGGGTGAAGGACATGAAATAGTCCCCTCACAGCTGACGTGGTTGAATAGCCAGGGGCAGAGCTCCTGAAGCCAGAGTCTGTTTCACACATTGTTGTGCTGGCCCTGGACCTGCTCCACCCTCAGGACAGGGACAAAAGACCGAGGAGTCTTGAAGGAATTGCAAGATTTTAAAATAAAAAAGATGGCTGAAGAGTTGAAAAGAAGAAAACCACAATTAAAGCCAGAGTCCTCATTTTTTATGTTGTCATGATAAAAGGATGTACATAAGGCACAGGTAGGCTTTTATATTTTAGTTAACTTTCTGATTAGGCTCGACAGTGAGAAGGTTTATCTAAATCTGTTTCAAAGAACTTTGAACACCTGAAGACACAGAAGCTTCCTGGGCTACATGGTCCCTCTTAGGTGACAATGTAACCTCACTTCTTTGGGTTCCAGATCTATCAGAATGACAAATCCTGTGGATTCCTCATCCCTCTCTTTCATATTTGGTTTCTGGTAGTGAGGAAGGGGAGAAAGAACTTTAAAAAGAATACATGTAACAAAATTTAAAAAACAAAAAATAAATTACTAGAAAGAATACATGTATTTGTTAGACACTATGTACTTTGAAGCATGTGGTGTGTGGAGAGAAAAAGATGTAAAACACAGTCCCTATCTTCAGGAAACTTTATAATGTATAGTTGGAGAGACAAGAGCATCTTATACAAAAGACATCATATGTTAATACAGAATTACTCCCTGATATATGTAGCACAAACTATACGTAATACAGAAATACAGCACTTATAGGAAGAATCAATAGGAAAGCTTGGAGAGGAGGCAGAACTTCCTCCCAGCCTGGAAGGGAGGACAGGATTTGAACGGAAAGCACCAACTTCCCATCTCTTCTTTCCTATTTCATTAGCTGCTGTGAAAAGCACACTGAACATAACAGTATGATTCTAGTGGACTTCTAACCACCTGTTTCTCTGCAAAGCACCTTCCAGAGCACTGCACCAGTCCAAAAGAGAAGTCAGGGAGTTTAAAGTCTAGCAAGGAGATAAAGTACTATCACCCAGCCCTAACTGGTTTGGCTCAATGGATAGAGCGTCACCCTGTGGACTGAAAGGTCCCAGGTTCGATTCCGGTCAAGGGCATGTACCTTGGTTGCAGGCACATCCCCAGTAGGAGGTGTGCAGGAGGCAGCTGATCAATGTTTCTCTCTCATTGATGTTTCTAACTCTCTATCCCTCTCCCTTCTTCTCTGTAAAAAAATCAATAAAATATATCCAGTGGGGCCTTGACTTACGAGTGTCCCGACTAACGAGTTTTTCAAGATACGAGCCGAGCCGTCTCTCGGCCAAATTTTTGCTTTGAGTTGCGAGCTAAAATTCGGGTTATGAGCAGGCTTCAGATACCCTGCCACTAGTTGGCGCAGCAAATGTCATGGTGAATGCCACAACATCAGCCCAGCATCACGTGTCTCATTCGTTCACTTTATGATTTGACATACGAGTAATTTGAGTTACGAGCTCCGTCATGGAACGAATTAAACTCGTAAGTCAAGGCCCCACTGTATTTTTTAAAAAAGAAGTACTATCACCCAAATATCAGAAAGCATTTCCCAGCATCCTGATGATGTTATGAAAAAGTCTCAATCAGTTCTAAAAGAACATAGACACAAAATGTTGACATGTACAAAGGAGCATGTAAAAACAGAAATTACTGGCAACTTTAAAAAAATTACCCTTGTTGTACTACTCTCTGTAGGTGAGATAACACTACTGTGCTTCTCCTGGTGATGGTGGTGGGCGTGCATTTACATAAACTCATCCACAGCTGCCCACCTAGTTCCAGGTTACCAAAAAGCTCATTGGAGTTAAGGTTCAAGCAGTAGCTGTAGAACAGACTCAAGGTATAACCTGTACCCATATGTATTACAACTAGAATCTTGGCTGCATGTCTACCATCCTCTCATGAATTGCTTGCCAATCTTCTCAACAGGATGCACTGGGGTAAATGGAGGACTTAGCCTGTGGCTGGGAGCAACTAGTCTAGAAACTTTGGCTCCCCTAGGCCACAGCAGCCCAGCCAAGGACCAATATTTTTGTATCATTAAACCATTCCCCTGGCCTATCAGTGTGCCCCCAGCACATGGGTAGGAAAGCTCTGCTCTGACCCTCTCACTTCTCTAGAGAGTCAGGACCCTGGTTTCTTTGTTTGTTCTTGTTTCATTTCACAAGCCCCTTTTAAGGGTATTAACACAGGCCTTGGAACAGTTTGAAGCCAATGAAACTCCTTGGTCTATGTTGAGGCAGGCTTGTTCTCAGCTCACATTTCCACATGAGGGCAGAAAAATCTCAGCCAATTGGAGGAAGCCTTCTGGACCTTAGGAAGTCTTAGCCCCTAGCTCAGACTCTGGACCCAAGGGAACCTAGGTATGGGAGGGTGGACGTGGTGGGCCAGGCACAGCTGCCTGGGCACCCTCAGAAAGCACAGACTCAACACTGCGGCAGCTGGAACAGTTCTGAGAGTAGAACAGTTTCCTCAGGGAAGGGATGGGCTGCCTAAGACTCCCACCACTTCTACCTCACCCCTTGTAGTTGTCCCTCTCTAGGCCATTCCCGGCCAGCTGACCTGTTAGAGCTCTCTTACCGTCTTCACAAAGTATAAGCTATCTTCACTGTCCAGAGGCACGATTCTAGAAAAGGAAAGAAATGGGAGAGACACTGAACATTTACAATGCTCTCTTTTTTTCAACTTAGCAGCAACCTACAGACCCAGATTTCTCTCTGGGATTTTCAAAATCACTGGGTTACATATATGCACAATTAGAATGTAGGCCACTTGGAGAAAAATGGGTCCATCCCAGCCTCCATCCCCCAGTGTTTCAGTAGGAAGCACTCAGGGCACAGGGTCTCAGCTGACCACAGCCAGCCCCGGGCCTAAACCTGGAGTGATGCCACTGCCAGGTGTGGAACTGTGAGAAGAAAACCCACATCAGCAGTCACAACTTAGCTTTTCTTCTCTTTTTGCTTCTAAAACTTGCCCAAATAGGGATGCACCACAAACATATACTTACCTTCCCTGATTATTCACAGCATGTATATGAAAAGCCATCTTGGAGCTGTAGACCCAAAACAAAACAAAAGTCAGTAGGTTCTTGCTGACCCCTGGGCTGGAGCCCACCCCAGACACCAGCTGCTGCAGTGCACCTGTACAGGGCCCTCCCAGCACAATGGCCAAGTGTGGGGCCAGCATCTAACTCCTGTCATGGCCCTGCCTCTGTGCAGATTCTCAGGGCTGTCTTGGACAGAGCAGGAGAGAACCATGTGACAGGACTGTTGCCCACTGCAGTCTGGAAGTGACCTTCTACTGACCCAAGGGCTCCTGACATGCTGTCCTGAACCTCCTCCTCCTTCACCACTTTTGGGTCAAGATGCCATCCCTGCTTGGTGTCTGAGCAGAGGCCAGGTCCCATGTTCCTCTCAGGAGATGATTTGCATTTCACTGAGGACCCTTGAACCTGATGCAGTTCAAGGGTCCTCGGTGAAACGACCTTGTGGATAAAAGGGAGTGAGGCTCTAAGAGACTGGCCCTGGAAGACTCTCCTCCCATTGCCTGGGGTTCTCTCCTTGTTCCTTCTCCAGATGGAGTGGTACACTCAGGCCTAGGGATTGAGAGGGGGCCTGCCCTGTAAAGGCTGAGTGACTTAGGCAAGGCCCTGAGGAAAGGAGGAATGGAATGACTATGTCAGCCACGTTGATGATACAGAGAAGGCTCCACTGCAACAGCCGCTAAAATGTACACACCCAATCACTCTACAAGGTGAGAAGATGAGGAAACAAATGCACAGAGCTCCCTATATTGTCCAAGGCCACACAGCTGGAAAGCAAATGAGCTTCCTCAAATGTAGGTTACCAGGAAAACATAGTCCAGGCCAGTGCAAGGCCTTAAGGGAACAAACTTCCCGTCTCCCTTCCCTCTCATGGCCAGAGTTATAAGACTCAGAGGCCAGAGCAAAGGAGACCTGAATAAGCCTAAAACCTTGCACCAAAGGACCTGGTTCTTTCTTCCACTCCTGGAAGTACAGAAATAGAATTTTTCTTGTCAGATCAAAAGACTTACTTATCTTTCTAAATGTTCCTTCTCACTACCCAGGACTCTAGATGTAAGAAAATGTAAGGCATGCCCTGGCCGGGAGGCTCAGTTGGTTGGAGCCTTGTCCTGTACACCAAAAGGTTGTGGGTTCAATTCCCAGTCAGGGCACATATGGGAGGCAACTGATCAATGCTTCTCTCTCACATCAATGTTTCTCTCTCCCCCTTCCTCTCTTAAAAAAAAATCAATAAAAACATATCCTCAGGTAAGGATTAAAAAAAATTTTTTAAAAGAAAATGTGAGACATGTATGGAGCTGAGGCACCACAGGGCACATATCAGAAGTGTTCTTAAAGAAACTCCCCAATATCAGTGTCTTTTGATTCCTTTGTTAGAAGTGCACTTAGATGGCCGTGGCCAGTGTTGCTCAGTGGTTGGGTATTTTCCCATATACCAAAAGACTGCTGGATCGATTCCCAGTCAGGGTACATGCCTGGGATGTGGGCTCAATCCCTGGTAGGGGGCATGCAGGAGGCAGCTGACTGATGTATCTCCCTCTCCTTTCCTCTCTCTCTAAAAATCAATACAAAAGCTTTTTTTAAAAAAGTGTTCCTCATATGGGACAGTGGGTTAAGTTGACTGAGCTACACATAGATCCAATGTGATGTGCCAGGATATCTGTGATGGAAGACTGCTAAGGAAGCCAAATTCCCAGAGTGTCTAGATCCCGGGACATAGCCAGGCTCAGGGTTTCTACATCTGAGAGGTAGATAAAGCAGTGAGTGTCTTCACATGCCCAGGACCCTGACCCTAACATACCTCACCACTCCTGTTCTCAGCTTTACCTTTCTAACCTCTGAACTAGGTTTGTCATGTCTCCAATGATTCCAGTACTGATCTGCCTCCTATTTCAGTGTCAGGACATGCTTTCTCATATAGTTCGTCCTTCTTTGGCTTCTTGGCCTCTCAAAGCTCTGATCACTCCTTTGGGTCTTTATAACACAGACATTAAAAAAATTCCTTATAGAAAGTATCAGCCATTGCTTACCGTAGGGCTGCCTTAAACTGCATCAACTCAAAGGAATCTAACTCAGATCCCATGGTCTGCTCAGCTACTTCCTTGGCCTATAAAACCAATAAAAACCGGAAACAATTAGCTCTTACAGCAGGAAAACATAGACATCACTGAAAGAAAGAAGCCTTCTAACATTTGGCCAGGACAAGGCTGCGCCCCTCCCCTCTACGTGACTACTTTATATACATCAATAGATTAAAGTAAAACACCATGTTAAGTGGAACTGGTGTCAGCTTTCGTCAGGCTGGGTTCACAGGAAACACTCCATTCAGGCAGGCGGGCACTGGAACCTGAACTCCTGGGGAGCTGTAATCAGCTGAGATGGTGCCATTGTGAGGTCTGGAAATGTGCTTTTCCTCCCCTCTCCCCTGGCCCTAGGGGAGGGATTCCTGCCCTCAGAGATTCTGTGCCCAACGCTAAGAAGATTCAAATACCTAGAGTTACAAAAGATTAGTTAAAAAACAAAGGTGTGAGAACTGAGGTCTGCACCAAACCCAAGTCAGTACGAGGGATTCAAGTTGACTGAGGAGGGAGATGGCAAGGAGCTGGTGACTATGCTACAGTCTCTCAGCTATCTACATCATACACAACCTTTCCAATGTCAAATGGCTTCCTTCAGGAAAGGTCCTATTGGCATTGGGAGGCATCAAGCCGACTCTTCTCATCTCCTGACTGGGTCAGATATAGGAATCCAACTCAGCAGGGCAGGTTAACCGCAAAACAGCAAGGAAGATAACGGTCAGAGCACGAGATCACGTGTGCTTGTCTAGGAAAGGCAAGTCAGATTTTCTAATCTTTAGTTATACTGAATTATAGGAAATTAAACTATGTAGCTCAAAATAAACTTACCTAATTTTATTAAAATTCACAGGAGAATAAGATTATATATATACTTTTAGAAAAACTTTTAAAAACTATTAAACTATTAAGTAAAATAATATGCTATAGAACAGTTTTTCTTTAACACAACCAGATATCTACAAAGAAGTGATTAGCTGTCATTCATGACAAGGGCAGCTTGGTCAAGGCAGTGCAGGCAGCACAAGCTCAGCACTTTCAATGCGTCTCTGGTGCCAGCTCCACAGAGGCCCAAGCTCACACAAAACCGAGTACTACAAAGTGTCCAAAACAAACTGAACGACGCCCACCCAGATGGATAGGAAATCTTACATTAAAATAACTTCTAAGGAAAGAGAAATATGGTATTTAAATTACCTTTGTTAGACTGGAAGTTTTAGCATAACATGCAATGCCAGCCAAAACAGCCTCAATAACAGCAGCATATACCTGTGACAAGAGCCTACTTTTAAAACAAAAAAATATGGGTTAACTAACAGCATTACAAGGTTTCATCAAAAGCTGCATGCACAAAAATGACATTCCCTAAGGGACTGATTTTTAAACAGAATGAGAAGTGAAAAATTGGAACCCACTGATTTCTAACCTTTTAAAAGCCATGTGCCCCATCTGATTTATACTTTTCTCTGTTAAATTATAAGAAAAGCCAGCTCTCATTAATTTTGCTCAAAACACCAACTTTCCCTGTTTGTAATCCAACAGAAGAAAAGTATGTGGGCTCCATGACCCCTCCACTTGCAGAAGCAGCTGCCCAAGGACCCTGAATCCCTTCAGTGTAATGATCCAGACTTGCTGCTTTTCCAGGGACCAGCTGCACCACACTGCATGTCCTCTCCCCAGGACTGCTAAAGGCTGGCTGCTACTGGAACCTCAGGGTGGGAGACCTCAGGGGGCAAGAGAGGTTGCTCTGGGGAGAAGATGAGCTCCACTTAAATTCAAATGAACAGTTACAGACCACTTTCTAGGCAGCTTACATGATATAGAAACTACAGAATGCTTCTGACAGGGAGCAGTCCCTACCTAAAGCACCTCCTCACCAATCTTGCTCTTTCTTTGATTTCTCACTTCTCAAAGTCTTTGCCAAACTTGAGCTGCTACCAATGTCCCCAGAAAATGTAAGTCTGGCTGTCTTTAGGCAGGGTCTCTCAATCTCAGTATTTTGGGACAGGTAATTCTCCAGACACTGCCAAATGTCCTGGTGGGGCGGGGGGCTGGTGGGAGTGATACAGTTAAATTGTCCCTGGTTGAGAGCCACTGCTTCAGAGGAAGGAGAGCCAGAATCTCATTAGGATAATTACAGAGAAAAGAGGCTCATCCGCGAGGCCTTGAAAGGCAAGGGCAAAGAAGGGACAAGGCCTTCCCTAAGAATATGTCTATTTTTAAGCCTTTGAAACAGGTAAAGGAAGGCGACAGGAGTTTGAAAGGAGGAATGAACACAGAAATGATCTGGTCTAATGCTCTCATCTTACAGAAGAAGCAAGTAGGCCTCTGGAGGTGGAATAAGTTGTCCTAGGACACAGGAAGTTAATGGCAGACGCAGACGCTCTCAGCCTGGTGCTTTCCCCCATGCCATCTCACACTGCCAATTTCCTCCAGAGCTCCTTCACCACACCTCCACATTGTAGGTAAAAGATTTGAGTTGGGTAGAGGGAAAAGGGACAGAAAAAGGACACATAACAAAGTGACAGCTCCAAAAGTCATATCCTGACGACTGTGGTGAGGAGACGTCAGAGGCCAACACCAAAGATAGAGAAAGATGACCTTCCATATTCGACAAAGGAGGCAAGAGCATACAATGGAGTCAAGACAGTCTTTTCAATAAATGGTGTTGGGAAAATTGGACAGATACATGCAAAAGGATGAAACTAGACCACCAACTCACACCATACACAAAAATGAACTCAAAATGGATAAAAGACTTAAACGTAAGACGGGAAACCATAAAAATACTA